GCTATTGTTAGCGTCCAAAGCTTCTTCTAACCAAGTCTACCTCCTGATCTTCTCCTATACCTGCTCCTGCTGTACGGCCAAGGCGATGTACGTACAGCAGGCGATTGTCACGTACTTATTTGCAGTGATATCAATCACGGTGCGATTGTCACGTACTTATTTGCAGTGTTATCAATCACAGTGCGATTATCACGTACTTATTTGCAGTGTTATCAATCACAGTGCGATTATCACGTACTTATTTGCAGTGTTATCAATCACAGTGCGATTATCACGTACTTATTTGCAGTGTTATCAATCACAGTGCGATTATCACGTACTTATTTGCAGTGTTATCAATCACAGTGCGATTATCACGTACTTATTTGCAGTGTTATCAATCACAGTGCGATTATCACGTACTTATTTGCAGTGTTATCAATCACAGTGCGATTGTCACATACTTATTTGCAGTGTTATAAATCACAGTGCGATTATCACGTACTTATTTGTAGTGTTATAAATCACAGTGCGATTATTTTGTACATGAAATGTAACTACAGAGTATTTAAAACAAGCTACGAAGGTGAAATGACAGTTAAATATGCCGTTTAAGAACAACGAAAGTTGCATCATTAAAACTGATGAATAACATTTACTATATCAAAAACGGTTCGATATGAACCACAGCGTCTTGTTTCATTATTTATTTTAGAATTGTCATTGTTTCTCTTTACAGCATCGGAGCTGAAGACAAAGTAGACTTTTCTTTCGTTATCCTATCGTTTCTGCTTCAAGATCGCTACTCAGTGGATGTCTTCCATTGAACGTCACTACGGTATCTGCAGTATCTTAATTTCATCACATCTGATTTTGAAATCTTCTTTGTCCATTGAATTTAATGACACATCCGTTCCTCTTAAGCTGTTCTTTAGGCTTTTTGTGCAGCATCTAGACTAGTAAAGGTAAGTTCACTTTACATCTGACTGACAACAACGTGACATTGATACTACTATGAGCCTTTGAATTATTCAAGTGCTATAAACATGCTTTTGGAGTTCTACATTTAGCTGACAACAGTGTGGCATCAGTACTCTCATGAGCCTCTGAATTATTCAAGTGCTATAAGCATGCCTTTGTGATTCTACGTTTATCTCTCAACAACTTGTCATTAATACCCTCAAGAGCTTCTGAAGTATTCAAGAGCTATAAGTATGCTTTTGGGATTCTACGTTTAGCTGACAATAACTCTCATGTGCTTCTGAAATTTCCATGTGAAATAAACATGCCTGTCTCGTGTTTTGAGTGAAATGCAGAAATCAACTTTGGAATCAGTTTCTTTTAAATATATTGCGGTGCTACAGGTATTGTTCACACATTTTTGGTAACTTTATGTATGGTAAAAAAAGTGAAACATGGCTGACACCAAATCGTTTTCGACTGCACCAGTTGACAGTGGTCACTCTAATCAGGAGACACCACGACTTTCTCTCTCTCTACATTGTTGTAACATGTTTTTTAACGTTTTGAAGCTCCAACGCTTTACCGATAATGACACAGAGTATCTTTATCAGCGATATTTCTTCAATATAAACCAGCGTCGTCTAACAGCCTTACTATTCTTGATGATTAGCGTCACCCTGGTGATGGTACTTCTGAATTACGCACTAAGCGGACGAGGTTCCCTCTTGCATGGCTATACGTTTGGCGTCATGATTGCTTTGTACATAATAATGGCTATTGTTAGCGTCCAAAGCTTCTTCAACCAAGTCTACCTCCTGATCTTCTCCTATACCCTGCTCACAAACTTCTTCGTCATCGTCATCCTGATGGTTATGGACTTGGACGCAACTATTCCCACCGTTAGCATCTGGTGTACGTCCTTCTTCATCTACCTCAACTACACCTTTCTGCAGCTTCGGATTCAAGAGGCCTTGGTGTATAGCATGTTACTGGCCACAGTCCAGGTGGCATGCTCAGCTGTAGTTAACTTTGGCAGTCATCTTTTGTGGAAGCAGGTGAGTGAGCTTAGCTTTTTTTTGCACACATTGAAAATGTTAACTTTGGCAGTCATTATTTGTGGAAGCAAGTGAGTGAGCTTAGCTTTTTTTTGCACACATTGAAAATGTTAACTTTGGCAGTCATTATTTGTGGAAGCAAGTGAGTGAGCTTAGCTTTTTTTTTGCACACATTGAAAATGTTAACTTTGGCAGTCATCTTTCGTGGAAGCAAGTGAGTAAGCTTAGCTTTTTTCCACACATTGAAAATGCATGCATGTTTTCAATATCATAGAAATGTATGTACTTCACTATTCATTGAAAAATACTTTAATAAGAACAAGAGATTTATAAGCTATTTCACTTTAAAGTTACAAGAACGATAAACAATTGAATAGGGAAAAAAGAGCATTGGTCGTATGGTCACTACCTTAGGTCCACCTTTTAAAAACACTCGGGTCATAGAGTTTTTATTCTTTTCTATCAAGATTTCTTGAACCTACGTGTTTTCTAACATCATGAATAAGTCCCTATCTGTTATTAAACAGTAGTTGAGACTTAATAACATTTGTACTTTAAGGAAACGTTTGTTTGTGATATTCATGCAAAGCTACAAATAGGGTTATCTGTGCTAGCTGTCCTTATATTTAAAATCATGAGCTAGAGAAGAAGTAGCTGGTCAATAGCACTCACTTCCAACTACTTGGATACTCTAATTCATTGGAGAATGTGACTGCCACCCTTATAATGCAGCTGCAGCTCCAAAGTGTAGATAGTGTTTTAGCTGCAATGAGATGCAAACCATGGACCATCGAATACACAGTCTAGTACACTAGCCAATTGGTCACTCCCGGCCCTTCATGGAATAATGGAAAAACGAATTTTTTGAAGTTGGCGATAACACTGTTGTGGTGTTTTAATTTGCCTTTTAGTCATATTTTGAATTTCGGAAACTAAATATTTCAAATTTGGTACATAGAATGGTCACAAAGTGACTTTGGTGTATAAATACGTCATCGTAAATGATCGAAACTTAGGAATTGGAACAAGCACAGGAAATAAGCTCCCAAATTTCACCGATTGGTTTAGTTTGATATATATTTTTATGCAAAGCTACACAAGAGATATCTGCTCTTGCAGCTTCTAATTTTGAACTAATAAACTAAACGGAAGGCAGCTTGTCACCAGCACTCACCACTAATTTTTGGGCTATTCTTATCGAATAGTGGGGTCTGACCATTATTCTTATAGCACAAACAGCTCCAAAGAGTGGAGCTCGCTTTTTTCTGAGCAACTGGACGCGAACACGGACCATTGAAACACAGTCTGGTACATTAAACACTAGACCCTGTCCTCCTCAAGACACGTGTTGGTCTAGGGGCGTCAAAATCGTGCGATTTAAATATAATAATTTAGATATAACTGCGTACAAAATCTCAGTTCTCAGTGCAAAATCAAGATGTAAACAAATCAGAAGAGAATGGGCATTGTTGAAGCTTGCTATCATAGCCGAGCTATGCTACTAGATCATGTCGAAGGTCAAGTAGTAATGACATGTTGCAACAGTTGGTATAAGATGCTATTCAACAGAAAAGTTCACAACTTGCTTAATCAGTTTCAATCAGCAGAATTTCAAATCAGGCCATATGTGTGATGTGTTCCGTAAGGAGCGCTCTGTTCATTTTTAACGTCACTTTCATTAACAGTATTGAGTAAAATGTTTAATATGCCTATTTTTATTATTATATTCATATTATGAAGATTATTTTGGATTGTTAGCTTAAGGTATGGATTGAAGACTAACCTACATCTCGTAAGCTGGTGGAACCTCATGAGATATTATTGGGATTACGGCCGAAAATATTGCTAACAACAAGGGCATTATCTGATGAAACAATGCATTATAATAATAGCCCCCAAGTGGCACAGCGGCATGATTGTGGATTTACAACACTAGAAACCTGGTTTTCGATACCCGTGGTGGGCAGAGCACAGAGAGCCCATTGTATAGCTTTGTGCTTAACTCCAAACAGACGAAAAAAACAGATTATAATTTGCTTTAAAAAATTTTCATACCAAAAGAGTCTATTCTTTTTTTTTCCATTTTTCCCTGTTTGATCAATTTTCAAGTTAGTGTTAACTACCATGAAAATAAATTTTCTGCTCGAAAAGTATACGTGTTCAGTAAATAGAAAGCAAGAATCATCAGGACACAACCAGTTGTGAAGAAATGAAGTAAAAAATAAATATATTCATGTAAAACTTTCCACTTTATTTAGCGTTAAAATTACGTAGTCATATGACCTAATAATATGATTGATTTATTTGTTTCGTTAACATGTTGAACTGTAAGGATTTTTTGATGAAATTGCAAGCCCAAAGGATTTGCCGCATGTCTTGATTCGTCATAATCTTCTAAAAAATTGTTTACAAAAATGTCTTAAGAAGCAAGGAAACATTTTTGTCACATTACCATCAGACTCTAAAGTTGTAACGAATTACAATGTATACAACGTTCATCTTTTTTTATTTGTGGTATTGCTATTTTGTCTCTTTCTTTCGAAGCCCCCCCCCCTCATCCCATCCAATGGCACAGCGTAGGACTGCAGACTTTTAACGCCAGAAATCGGGTTTCAGTACCTGCGTTGGTAGCTACAAACAAACGTTCTTTCCAAATTGGCAAAGAAAACTGTAAACGTAGATCCAGTGATAGGTATTACGAGCATAAAAGGTTTTAGGAGAAATACAGAACAAATAAAACTTGTTCAAATTCAAACTGTTAAAGTGCTTTGAATACTGTACTACAAACATTTTTCTGTATTGTACAAACTACTAAAGTGCTTTGAATACTGTACCACAAACATTTTTCTGTACTATACAAACTATTAAAGTGCTTTGAATACTGTACTACAAACATTTTTCTGTATTATACAAACTGCTAAAGTGTTTTGAATACTGTACTACAAACATTTTTCTGTATCATACAAACTACTAAAGTGCTTTGAATACTGTACCACAAACCTTTTTCTGTATTATACAAACTGCTAAAGTGCTTTGAATACTGTACTACAAACATTTTTCTGTATTATACAAACAACTAAAGTGCTTTGAATACTGTACTACAAACATTTTTCTGTATTATACAAACTACTAAAGTGCTTTGAATACTGCACTACAAACATTTTTTTGTATTATGCAAACTACAACTTCAAGTTTTAAAGTCAGCTGGCTAATATAGAAAATTCAGTTCATTTGAAAATAATTTTTGAGTGAAATTATTAATTGTTTTTTGTAAATGGTCATTTTCAGATTTGATTAAACAATACACAGTGGACGTAGCGTTTAAAACGTTCCTAATGTTCTTTTTTTTAACATTAGTTTCAACTTAAAAGGCAATTACTGAACCCAAAACATTATTGGCGTAATGCATAAGCTCGTTTCTTGTATGCAAAAACGTATAACAGAAACAAGTTGGTTCAGATATAAGTTTGATCGCTTACAACGCTAGACATTGGGCTTAGATACCCGCGACGAGAACAGCCCATTGTGTAGCCTTGTGCTTCACAACCAACCAACAAACAAACACAAACGATTTATGATAAAAACGGGATAGAGAAAGCTTGCATAATTATCTGTACCAGCGTTTTCCAATATTATATACAACACCAAATACTAGAATATTAAAAGTTTGTTAACAATGAATTTAACTGGAATTTAGAAGGGATTTTGTTTACTGTAAAAATGAAAACGTTAATATTTTATATTTGCACATCCCCTTCCCTGGAGATCTCCTGTAATTCTCATTACAAGTCTTGCACCACATTTTATGTGATTCTACACAATCTATACATTAAATTATTACAACAAACTTTTGTTACACGAACACACAAAAAACACACATAACAATACGAATTTGTGCGTGTGATATTTGTACAGGTTTGGGATAAGGTGAAAAGTCCACGTGCTAGCTTTACCCTCATATCTTAAACATAGTTTTCTTCTTCTTTATTGAAGTTCTTGAGCAAAAAAAAAGATTGATTATTTCTACTTTAAACTTGCACTAAACATCCCACTGAAGTAGAGAGATCTTTCTCCCATATGAACTGTATAATACGTCTTTAGTATAACTATAAATATATATCAATAAGAAGTAATACTAGGATTAACAGCTTCCTAGGTCATGGATAAGCCGCGTGGCCAACAACTTTGATTATCGATGGATTTGAACTTCTTACTTTACAGAACTTCTGTGAAGTAATAATATAAAAACATCGGATTTAATTTTCTGTTTGCTCAAATACATTTGTTAAAGCTTATTACAAAAGCTAAGCTTAATCTGAAGCCAATATGATTTAAAATCATAAAACGCAATGTCAACAGGAGGAGCTGGTTTTTGTCAAGTCTTGCTTCTGCGCACTGCTGTTAAGCTTCATTATTAGACTTTGCCAGAAAATAAAACACTCAATAATATGTAATTTGTCTCTACACTCAATTTGTGCCATACCTGAGCTATTCTAAGCTCAGGCATAGATAATTATCATACATTTTAACGAAATTCCATTTTGTACAATGCTTTAATCCTCTTCTTCATAAACTAATTTCTTTTAAATAACTTCAATGATTCTGAAGGACCCGGGATACAGTTTTGCTGATACTTTACTTGATTAGCGCCATCTAGAGCTTGTAAGTAAATACGAGAACGATATGTAGTTATGTTATTGTAATATGTATTGCATTTTAGGACTTGGAGTTTGTTAAAATAAACGGAGTTTGAATAATGAAAAAGTAAAAGGTTTCTAGTTTTAAGCACGATTACCTCAGAATTCAAACAAACTGCTCAAAAGATATTTAAGTTAAAGTTGCTTCAAAGTCAAAACACTATTTAAGATGAGAAATAAAACTACGATTGCTTTATAATGAACCACCCCTGTGGCTCTGCGGTAAGCCTGAGGGCTTATAACACTAAAAGTCGGGTTTTGATACCAGCGGTGAGCACAGCACACATAATCTTTTTGTGTAGC